GCCCATCTTGGAGCCTGATGTAAATTTCCAGACTTTTCGCGAATGGCGGCGGCGGTGGGCTGATTATGCTACAATGGTGGATCTCCAGAGTTTGTCACAGCCTAAACAACTCATCCAGCTGCGTATGTGCCTGTCCTTGGAAGTTCAGCGTGTCTTAGAACATACGTTGCAGGTACCCCCAACCTCTTCGCTGTCTGTAGAGGAGGTACTGGACGTTCTACAACGGCACATCAAAGGACAGCAGAATGAAGCTCTGCGCAGGAGGGAATTGTTTAGCTGCAGACAGATGGAGGGTGAGTCTTTTGACGCTTTTTATGTACGTCTTAAGAGAGCCTCGGAAGAGGTAGATATATGTCTAGGCCACCACCAGCAGTGTGAGGAGACCCAGTTGAAGCAGGTGATCTTGATGGGTGTTAAGGACGAGGAACTTGTCCAACGCCTCACCTCCCTCGACTCTTCCTCTTCTCTTCAGGATGTGTTGACGATATGTCGCTCCTATGAGGCTGCCAGGTGTGCCACCTCTGCCATCCGAGCTCCCCCTACAGCTGTACGCGCTGTGTCCCGGTACAAGAAGGACAAGAAGTCCGCTCCTACGCCTTCGCCCACCACGTCCACGCCCGGTTCATTTTGTAACAACTGTGGTAAGCAGCACGGAACACAGGTGTGTCCAGCTGCTCAGTCTACCTGCAACAGTTGTGACCGTATGGGCCACTGGTCGCTCACAGTGCGGTGCCCAGCTAAGTACGTACAGTGCAATGTGTGCGGTCGTCTGGGCCACTATGACAAGTGTTGCCCTACCCACGAACCCAAGGGACAGCGTCGGCGGAAGCTTCGGCGCCCTTCTACCAGTGAGGGCCGCCCACAGTCGCCAAATCAGAGGCACGACGACCCTGGACAAAGCCCGACCCATTTTAGGAGGGTGTACTCCTCGCATCCCAGGACCAAAGTCCCCCAGTACATCAGCGTCATCGTGACCTACGGCGGTGTGTCATCCCGTCTTCAGATGTTGCCCGACACCGGCGCTGATGCTACAGTCATCGGTCCCCAGCATTTGCGATGCTTGGGGCTCTCTCCAAGCGATCTAGGACCGCCTCCCGAGGACCTCCGCGTCATGGCAGATGGTTCACAGATGGCCCCAGCCCTGGGTTCACTCTATGCACATGTCACCTTTGGCAACAGGTCGTGTCAGGCCTGGATTGACGTGCATAATGGTGTCCCGACTCCCTTGCTGTCCTACAGACATTGTCAAGAGTTGGCCATCATCTCCCAGGACTTCCCAACACCGATTCTCGAGGTAAATTACGCCAACAGGGTGCACGAAGGGAGCAGCAACTACCCTGCTGCCGCCCTACCCCTACCTCTGGCCAGTGACACCTCTCCTTCGGTAGTTGTCCCTGCTGCATCACGTCCCCACGCCTTGGCTCGCCTTCACGACAGTCACCGTGGAGCTGAGGCCACCAAACGACGTGCACGACAGACTGTGTTCCGGCCTGGCATCGACCCCGACATCTCCAATGCTGTCCAGGTGTGTAAGCCCCGCCACGTATTACAACCCAGCCAGCAGCAGGTACCCTTCATGAGTGACGACAACCCCACCCGCCCCTTTGAGTCTGTGTCGGCCGACTTTTTCTGTGTGTCAGGAAAGTCCTTCCTGGTTATCGTCGACCGTCTCTCTGGTTGGCCGGTTGTCATCAAGGGCGGTAATGACACGACGTCTGCCGCCACCATCAGCAAGTTCCGCCACTACTTCCGTGACGTGGGCGTTCCTGTACGCCTGCGAACCGACGGAGGGCCTCAGTTCACAAGCCGGGACTTTGCTGTGTTCCTCGACCGATGGGGAGTCCGGCATGTGTTGTCATCGCCCCATTACCCGCAGTCCAACGGCCACGCTGAGGCTGCTGTCAAATCCTTGAAGCACCTCATCCTTAAGGTGGCCCCTTCTGGGAATATTGACTGCGAGGCCTTCGACCGGGGTCTTCTTGAACTCCGCAACACACCCAACTACACCGGACGCTCCCCTGCCCAGGTTTTGTATGGACGCCCCCTTCGTTCTTGTGTCCCTGCTCACCCTCAATCCTTCTCCAAGGAGTGGCAGGCCAAGACAGAGGATTGTGATCGCCGAGCCGCCGAACGTGTTCAGGACGTCGTCGCCCGCTACAACGACCACGCCCGTTCTCTCCCCAGGTTGAGTGTCGGCACCCAAGTCCGTGTTCAGGACCCGACCTCCCTACGTTGGGACAAAGTAGGCGTAGTCATGGGTCTCGGCAGGTCACGGGACTACCAGGTGCGGTTACCCAGTGGTTGTGTGTGGTGGAGGAACCGCCGTTTTCTCCGCCCCGTAACACTGCCTTCTGCTGGCCCCGCCACCAGTGTTGAGTCCCATACCCTTCCCAGTGATGAAGTCCCTCGACGCTCAGAACGGATCCAGAAGAAAAGGTCCGCTCAAGACTTTGCTATGAGCGTATAGGGGGGAGGGAGGTGTATGTATATTATGTATGCTGGATTATGTATTATGTATGTATATTATGTATGTGCTCCATTTATATTTATTCAGCCTAGCTAGCAGCGTGTGGCAATGTTATTACCATATCCCACACGCTTAATTAATGTGCCTGGCGACGTATGGAAGCTGCTAATGTATCACTTGCCATACGTCGTCTATGGTAGTTGACCAGGACCTTAGCTAGGGAGCAGTGCTATCCACCTCTGTGTACATACTCTTATCCAGTAAACCGAACCTACAAAACTATACAGGTGTTTGTGTTCTCTCCTGTATATAGAACTTATTACCCAGAACACCTAACACTTACCTAAATGTTTAATCCAATATATATTTACATAACAATCATGGCTATGTAATTAGTCTAATCTTAACACAAAAAAATGACACAGTCTACCTGTGTACACAATAAGTACTAGTTAAACTTACGTGTTGAAAGTCTAGAGAGAAGCCAGGGTAGGTGTTGACTCTAAGATATGGGTAGCTATACTGTAATGCCCACCCTATAGCCTGGCCCCCTGGCTGGTCAGCTATGGTTGAGTCAGGTGATTATAATTATACATAAACAAACTCCATTCACACCCTCCAACCTCCTTCTGGGCCTCTCATCTTCAACCACCTCAACACTCTACATACTGCATACGGGCAAGCACACCCAACATCAACCTAGAGAAGTCGACTTGTGAAAGAGACCTAGGGGTACTGGTAAGCCCGGACCTACGGCCTAGAAAACAGTGCGTTAATGTTCGAAATAAGGCAAACAGAGTATTGGGTTTTATATCTAGAAGTGTAAGTAATAAGCGTGCAGAGGTCTTATTGCAACTATATCTTGCGCTTGTCATGCCGCACCTCGATTATGTGGTTCAGTTCTGGTGCCCCTATTATAGAATGGATATAAATTCACTAGAGTCGGTGCAGCGAAGAATGACAAAAATGATTCCGGGACTTAGAAACCTTTCATATCAGGATATGTTAAAGAAACTTAACTTGCATTCCCTAGAAAGACGAAGAATGCGGGGAGATATGATAGAAGTATTCAAGTGGGTGAAAGGAATCAATAAAGGTGATATAGATAAAGTTTTTATAATATCCGAGCAGGATGGGACTCGGAACAACGGATTCAAGTTGGATAAGTTTAGGTTCAGGAGGGAGATAGGAAGGAACTGGTTTACAAATAGGGTGGTGGACGAGTGGAACAAGCTTAGCAACTTTGTAGTAAGTGCTGGAACGCTGGAAAGTTTCAAAGGGAGGCTGGATAGATTCATGGATGATAGAGAGTGGTAGTAACTCTCGACAGGAGCTGCCATGCACAGGCCAACCGGCCTATTGCAGACTCCTTATTTTCTTATGTTCTTATGTTCTTATAAACATGACATGACTTACAGCCTAACACAATATTAGTTTATGTGTTTGCTGCTTGTGGTAACACCCACTCCGTTGAGCGTTCACGCTCAAAACCATGTTAGGCCTTTGATACTTAATGCTTTGTCACGTTCTTGTGACCATGCTGCCCTCAGGCTGGTGGTATTCAACTTTAATTTTGTCACGTTCTAGTGACCATGCTGCCCTCAGGCTGATGGTATTCAACTTTAGTTTCGTCACGTTCTTGTGACTATGCTGCCCTCAGGCTGGTGGTATTCAACTTTAATTTTATCACGTTCTAGTGACCATGCTGCCCTCAGGGTGATGGTATTCAACTTTAGTTTTGTCACGTTCTTGTGACCATGCTGCCCTCAGGCTGGTGGTATTCAACTTTAATTTTGTCACGTTCTAGTGACCATGCTGCCCTCAGGCTGATGGTATTCAACTTTAATTTTGTTACGTTCTTGTGACCATGCTGCCCTCAGGCTGGTGGTACTTATTAGCTCCTTAGGACATCTCGGTCCTTTGACGTTCGGACATCACCTTCTTCATGTGTGGATACCCAATTCATTCTCCTGGCCGACTCCGTCAACCCTTTCCATTGCTCCCTCCAACAAGCATAATTTTGTCACAGGTCGCAACATTGTGGACGTCGTCGTCTTAACCACTGCCAGTCGGACAAGTCAATCCTCTCAGCCTTGACTTCCATCACTCGACGAAGGTGCCATTTGTTGAGTGGATTATTTGCTTCTGCTATAATGATTAGGTCACCAGGGCGAAAGTTGCGCCGTGGTCTGAAATGCACTTGTCGAGTTCTGAGTTGAGGGAGGAACTCCGTCAGCCAGCGCTTCCAAAATTGATCTGCAAGGTACTGGACATGCTTCCACCTTCTGTGGTATGATTCGCCTATTGACCTTCCACCTAAGGGAAGATTACCCTTTTGACTTAAGTGCAAAAGATCAGCAGGAGTGAGAGCCTTTGGTTCATTTGGAGTGTTTGGAACCGGGGTCATTGGCCTCTCGTTAACTATGGCTTCCACTTCACAGAACAGTGTTTGCAGACGTTCATCGTCTAAAACTTGAGAGCCCACAATCGCCTGCAGAACTTTCTTTACTGTGTGAATCTGCCTTTCCCATACTCACCCCATGTATGGGGCAACTGGTGGATTGAAGACCCAGTCAATATCTGCTTTCAGTAAGGCACCTCTGAGTCTGTCATCTTGCTCCCAACTTTTCACTGCTAGTTTGAGCTCTTTGGCTGCCCATACCATGTTTGTCCCATTATCCGACCTAATACGCTCTGGTGTACCTCTGCGTCGTGAGAACCTTGTTATTGCGTTGAGGAAGGCATCTGCGTCTAATGAGGCCAAGACTTCTAGATGAACAGCCCTAATAGTTAGGCATGTAAACAAACATCCCCAGCGCTTAACCTGTTTCCTCCCTACCTTGATAATGAATGGACCAAAACAGTCCGTTCCAGTGTAAGCAAATGGAGAGTTGCCAGGAGTGACACGATCTATTGGTAAGTCAGCTTGCCTTTGATGCCGACTTCTCCAGTTGTTCCGTCGGCACACTACACAGCGTCGTATGATTCTATCAAGCAAGCGTCTGCCCTGGGGAATCCAATACCTTTGCCTCACACACGCCATCGTGTGTTCTCGTCCGGCATGTCCGGCTCTCTCTTCGTGCATCTCCCGCACTATGATATCGGTGATGTGGTGGTCTCTAGGCAGCAAGATTGGCTCCTCACCATTTCGCCCAAGAAGGGTTCCTTTAATTCTTCCCTTTGATCTGAGCAACGTTCGCTCGTCCAAGTAAGGTTCCAGTTTATATAGCTTATTGTCCTTCGGCAGCTCACCCTTTATGACAGTTTGGATTTCTTTCTCATAAGCCTCTTTCTGCACCAATCTTATAAGTGTCTGCTCAGCCGACTGTAGTTCCTCAGTGCTTAGCCTCTTCAGTTTGAGGCTCAGGTCTGCGGTCCTTGTACTGGACCCAAGCCACCAAATGAACCTTTTAATCCATGCCACCCCTTTCACCAAGAGGTACCATGATGAGTACCTGAGCCACAATTTGGCGAGGGACCACTTTGACTGCTCGCTCACTGCCAGAGCAACTACAGATCTCTGGTGTACTTCTCGTTTCACCTCCAGTAAGTCGTTCAGAACTGCTGGCAGTTCCTTTCCCTTTGGCCACCGTTCTTCAACACTGAGTAAAAAGTCAGGACGTCGTATCCACCGAGATCCTGCAACCAGGTCAAGGACAGGTAATCCCCTAGTTACATCATCTGCTGGGTTCAGCGATGTGCCGACATGTCTCCACTGGTCAGTTCTTGACAGCTCTTGTATGACTGCTATCCTGTTGGCTACAAACGTTTGAAAACGTCTGCTCGAATTGGCGATGTACTGCAAGACTAACATGCTATCCGTCCAAAAATAAGATTCGTGTATGGTCATGGTCATTTCTCGGCGAATCGTTCGATCAGCGTTCACTGCCAGGACAGCTGCACAAAGTTCCAGCCTTGGTATTGTCAGTTACTTGATTGGGGCCAGCTTGGCCCGTCCGTACACGAAAGAGCACTGGATACTTCCGTCAGCGTCTACCATTCTCAGATAGGTCACCTTACCGTAAGCAGCCTGCAATGCATCGCAGAAGGTGTGCAGCTGTGCTGAGATGAGTTCTTTAGCACATGCTGTTTTTAGGCATCTGGGTACCCTTAATTTCCCTAGGTGGGCCAGTTCTCCTAGCCAGGTGCTCCAGGTCGTGTGATTAACAGCTGATAAAGGTTCGTCCAACCCTAATCGACGCCTGCATTCACACTGAAATAATATTTTAGCCCTGATGATGAATGGGGCCACGAACCCCAGTGGGTCACAAATAGAACTGACCAGACTTAGTACTCCTCTCCTGGTCGCTGGCCTTGAGTTTGGTTGCACCTTGATGGCGAGCTGATCACCTTCCAGGAGCCACCTAACCCCCAGGGCTCGCTCCATTGGCAATTTGTCTTGCCTCAGATCAATTTCCTTCAGTGCATTTTGCCTCTCCTCCGGTGGGATGGTAGCCAACACTCCTTTGTGATTACTGGCCCACTTAGTTAACCGAAATCCTCCACACGCCAACAGTCTTCGAAGCTGACACGCTAACATTGGTGCTTCATTTGATGAGTCCAGCGACATGAGCAGGTCGTCAACGTAGAAGTTGACTTCCGCTTGCGCCACCATTTCGGGAAACTCGGATCTGTGGTCTTGGAATGTGCGCCGGAGAGCGTAAATTGCACATGAAGGGCTCCACACCTCACCAAAGATGTGCACCTTCATCCTGTAAGTTACTGGCTCTCTACTCAGGTCCCCATTCTCCCACCAGAGGAATCTTAACGCATCTCGATGTTCTGGCGCTTCATGGATTTGATGGTACATAGCCTCCACATCTGCCATGATGGCTGTAGTTCCTTGGCAAAACCTAAACAGATTCCAAGTAATTTGTTGTTGAAGTCTGGACCTTGTAGTACCTGGTCGTTCAGCGATGTCCTTTTGTGTTTGGCTGCACAGTCAAAAACTATGCGTACTTTGTTTGACTTATTTGGGTTCAACACCGGGTGATGAGGCAGATACCAGACCAGTCCAGTATCTGACTTCAACTGGCACTTAGGCACTGATTCAGCATATCCTTCAGCAAGCAGTTTATTTATTTCCTCTACGTATCCTTGTCGCAGCCGTGCGTCCTTGGATAGTCTCCTTCGAAGCCCATCTAGTCGACGCTCAGCCACGGCCTTGTTGTTTGGGATTTCCGTGTTCTCATTACGGAACGGTATGGGAAATTGGTAATGACCATTAGTTTTGATGCCTGTCTCTGACCATAACCTCAACACTCTTTTGTCCTCAAGTGAATGAGCTGCTGACTGCAAGGCTCCTGTGTCCCCACTTTCCAGCTCCCAAAAAAGCTTAACTTGTCTTTCCAGACGGGTTTCAGGACTCACGACAGTTTCGGTCATCAGGTATCCTGACATACAAACTCCTTGTGCGTCTTGGTGCCCCACCGGTCCATTTACTGTCCAACCCAGTCGCGTTTTTATGGCGAATGGCATTCCATTCCTTCCTGCTCTGACCTCCAAAGGTACCAGGGCTTGTGGCACATCTTGTCCTATTAGAATTTCTATGTTGTTGCTCTGCAATTCTGGTAATTCCACACCTCGCAGATGGGTCGACCTTGAGATATCACTTGTGTTCGCTACGGAGTTGTGCAGCGTTGTGGGAAATTTTGTATAATGAGTACTTTCGGGATAAGTATGGTTCTGCGTCGTTTCATGCCTGCGCCAACCACTTCTAGATCTACCTCCGCTGACTCGAGTATCATCTCTTGGGCAAGTGTACCCATGGTTACCAGGGTAGGTGTCCCTTTCACCCTTAGTTTCTGTGCCAGATCTTTGGTGCAATAGTACCTGTCGCTGCCTGAGTCCAAGAGAGCTAAAGTTCTGATGTGATTTCGTTGGTGTGAGTCCTTTCCCCGAATCTTCACACTCACTATGGGCAGTACAATCTTGGCATTTTTCGTCGATAGTCAGATGTCGCTTTCGCAGCTGTATGGGTTTTCATGGGAGTCCTTTGTCCCTGTAGCATAGACATGGCCTATTTTTCCGGCCATGTACGAACTGTCGTTGGCTTTCTGGGCCATGCCACCATCAGAGGTGCCTGCCATTGTCTCCTGTTTCACCAGACCTTGAAAATTTCGCTTTACGCCACCCTTGCGTGTGTTTGACATACTTGCAGTAAGTGCCTCCCTTCGTTCTTGATGCAACAGGCTAGAATGCTTCTCTTTGCACCCATCATTGCCACACCTGAAGCATGACCAACACTCAGCAACAAGGTGGCCCACTCTCAGACACAAGAAACATCAACGTAATCTTTGTGCCCTCTCTAACCTCTCCCTCACTGACATGCTCCGGAATTCGTCGCACCCTGCAAATCCATGTGCTCTGGAACACACTAGGCACGAGCCTTTTCCAGAGTTTGTTTCTCCTCCATTGCCTTTCGCTTCACTGATAGTCACTAGGCCCACGGCACGTTTGCTTGACGATGATCCTTCTGGTCTTTTCTTACTTCCTTCTTGATTGTCCTCGCTTGATAGCAGAGCCATGTCATCCATCGTCACCGCTTTCTCCTCCAAATATAGCGCTAACCACTTCACCAGCCCTGTTCTGTGTCCTGTCGACTTCTGATAATTTCGTACATCATCCACACAGCGTTCCCTCAAATTGGGGGGAAGCTTAATCACCAGCGTTCTGAAGGTCTGCCATGTTTCAAGTTCAGACATCAAGTTCAGATTCTCCAGATGGCTCACTGCACCCCATAGTTGAGATGCCAGTTTTACCAGCTGGTCCGCATATGCATACTTATCTCCAAACCTTTCCTCCAGGATCTTGATTGCCTTGTTGTAGGCTCTGTCTGGCTCTAGATAGTCGCATCCCATGATTGCTTGATGTAACTCTTCTCCTTCACAAGCATCCATGAGCAGTTGGTACTTGTACTTCTCTGGCACGGCCGCATTTGTCATGTATCGACGGAAGGCATGCATAAAGGTCCAAAACTCCGCCCGCCCTTGTCCTTTAAACTTGGGAAGTGTGGCTTGCGGCATGCGCATCATAGCCACTAGCTCTCTTATTTCTTCACCCTTCTCTGATTCTCCCTGTGGATGCATAATTGTGACTTGAGGCGCTTTGTTTGCAAGCATTGGCGGTAAAGACGATGCCATTTTCTCGACATTGACCGATGCCTGTTGCAGGGTTTCTTCCCGTACTATTGGCTTCTCATAATTGCTGGAGTTATCTGTCGAAGGCTGTGAGCTGTCACTTCTTCGTGTTAGTGCTGATGTCTCTTGACCCGCCACCATTCCAGTGTACATCGTTTTCATCCACCCTGCCTTAAGCTCTCGCAGGGCTCGGTTTACTTCATCCGACGCTGCCTCAGCTCTGGCCACTGCTTGTTGATAATACAATTCCCTACTGTGACCTTCCAGAGGATCTCCTGGTATTGCAAGCTCATTTCATGTTTCACCACTCTCTGATTGTTCCTCGGCGGGCGGATCCATTGTCATTAGGTCAAAATGTTTGCTTCTATCTAGGTCCGACTCTCCTTCCATTTCATCAATAAACCCAATCTCCGACATCTTGCTTATTCAGGTAATTTGAATTGCGTTCGTTTCCACCACTCTTGAATCAGGTCACGTTCGTGTGCCTCGTCATACACTCGCACCTGATATCATTACAGACTTTACACTGATATTTGGGTGATTTACAAAGCAATATCACTTCAGTCAATTATGAGTGCTAATTGTGTTCTGCACTTACGTCAGACAACAATAATGACATGTGCTTTCATTCTCATATGCACTACACTGGGTGTGATGAAGATCACCCAGACAAGACTATTTTCTGGACTAACAAGGTTTAACTATTATCGATGCGAGAAGTATACGGACGTTGCACTGCACTTCTCGCCACTGGATACACACACCCACGCGCACACACACGTCCCTCAAGTGACGCGTGTTGGTGAGCCAAGCTACACTAAGAGTGGCTGAGCTCACTCTGACAACATTATTTTCTTCAAGAACAAAAGGTTCAAGTATTATCACCACTATAAATCTACGGGCGTTGCACTGTAATCCGTGGCACTGGGAACACGTGCGCGCGCACGCACACACTCACGCGCATCCCTCAAGTGGGTTGAGTTGAGTTGACCTTGGTTACTGCTGCCCGCGCCTTGGTTCAAGGTAGCACTGCTACACAGTAGACATTCACGTTTGACTATAACCGCCAGTCAGGCGGTTAAGGATATTTAGACTTCACGTAGTACTCGAACATTATAATTCGGTCAAACCTGTTGAATACAATTCATTTAGTATTTCAAATAAGTCATACATAGGCACTCTTACATAAATGTTTAATCCAATATATATTTACATAACAATCATGGCTATGTAATTAGTCTTATCTTAACACAAAAATAATGACACAGTCTACCTGTGTACACAATAAGTACTAGTTAAACTTACGTGTTGAAAGTCTAGAGAGAAGCCAGGGTAGGTGTTGACTCTAAGATATGGGTAGCTATACTGAAATGCCCACCCTATAACCTGGCCCCCTGGCTGGTCAGCTATGGTTGAGTCAGGTGATAATAATTATACATAAACAAACTTCCTTCACACCCTCCAACCTCCTTCTGGGCCTCTCATCTTCAACCATCTCAACACTCTACATACTGCATACGGGCAAGCACACCCAATAAACATGACATGACTTACAGCCTAACATAATATTTGTTTATGTGTTTGCTGCTTGCGGTAACATATATATATATATATATATATATATATATATATATATATATATATATATATATATATATATATATATATATATATATATATATATATATATATATATATATATATATATGCTGTATATATATTGCTTACCAATGGGTAATCCAACCTGTATTAAGCAACCTATATATGGAATTCTTTGAAAAGAAACTATTAAGTAATATTTTACCACCTTCAGCAGTCTGGTTTAGATATGTTGATGATGTATTATGTCTCTGGCCATGTAATGAGGACCTAAAAGCTTTCCTGCCACAACTTAACAACTTAGCCCCCTCGATCAAATTCACTATGGAATTAGAGCAAGACTGTAAATTGCCATTCCTAGACTGTCTGATACACAGAATAGGTAACACTTTTAAGTTCAGTATTTATAGAAAACCAACTAATGTGTGTTCATACATTCATTATTATTCTGCCCACCATAATATAGTCAAACAGTCAGTATTTTCAACAATGTTTTTACGTGCTTTGAGAATTTGCAGTCCGGAATTCATTGATGAGGAATACAAATATATCTATAATATTGGCTCAAACCTTAAATACCCTAGATCTTTCACAGACAAATGCCTAAACATTACTAAGAAAACTTTTTATAGAACTGACCCCAAGCCCACCCATGACCATAAGAATATCTTAATATTACCATTTCACAAAAATTTCTCACACATTCCTTCACAACTAAAAACCTGGAACGTCAATGTGGCATTTAGAACTCATGCACTGTTAAACAAATGTTAATCAAGAACTCCCCCAACAACACAATTGGTTGCATTTATAAAGTTCCTTGCAAGGAATGTAATATGTTTTACTTAGGCCAGACAGGTAAAGATCTTGCAACTAGAATTAAACAACACAAATACAGTGTTAGGACAGGCCAGGAATCCAATGCTCTGTTTGTTCATTTGAGGGATAACAAGCATTGCATTGACTGGGATAATGCCTCCTCAATATTACCTTGTAATTCAATTGATAGTAGGAACATCATAGAATCTAGTCTTATTAAACATACCGAAGCATTCAACATGAATTTGAGTAATGGCCTGTACAAACTGGACAATTTTGTAATTAAGAAGATTTGTAACCAAGTGAGAAAGTTGGGTCACCTTACCCTCTGACCTGACCACCAACTGTTGTGTGCTATTTAAAGATTAGTAGGGTCATTACCTAATACCTGACCAGTATGGACCTGGTCTCACCCTCCTCTGTATATATACACTTTGGTTTGTATTTCTCTTTAGTCTGTACTCACCCCTGAAGATGTGAATTACACGAAAGCGCTTGGGAACTTCGTGTTTTCTTCTTTCCTTGTGGTTATCAGCATATACCTAGATCACGCCTCTACAGTGATTTTATATATGTATATATATATATATATATATATATATATATATATATATATATATATATATATATATATATATATATATATATATATATATATATATATATATCAGAAAATAAGAAGTCTGCAATAGGCCGTTTGGCCTGTGCATGGCAGCTCCTGTCGAGAGTTACTACCACTCTCTATCATCCATGAATCTATCTAGACTCCTTTTAAAACTTTCCAGCGTTCCAGCACTTACTACAAAGTTGCCAAGCTTGTTCCACTTGCCCACCACCCTATTTGTGAACCAATTCCTTCGTATCTCCCTCCTAAACCTAAACTTATCCAACTTAAATCCGTTGCTACGAGTCCTATCCTGCTCGGATATTATAAGAACTTTATCTATATCTCTTTTATTGATTCCTTCCACCCACTTTAATACTTCTATCATATCTCCCCGCACTCTTCGTCTTCCTAGGGAATGCAAGTTTAGTTTCTTTAACCTATCTTGATATGGAAGGTTTCTAAGGTCCCGGAATCGTTTTCGCCATTCTTCGCTGCACCGACTCCAGTGAATTGATATCAATTCTATAATATTGGCACCACAACTGAACAGCATAATCTAGGTGCGGCCTGACTAGCGCAAGATATAGTTGCAATAGGACCTCTACATTCTTATTACTTACACTTCTAGATATTAAACCTAATACTCTGTTTGCCTTATTTCGAACATTAACGCACTGTTTTCTAGGCCGTAGGTCCGGGCTTACAAGTACCCTTAAGTATCTTTCACAAGTCGACTTCTCTAGATTGATGTTGTTAAGGCTGTAAACATTGACAGTATTTGTTCTTCCAATATTAAGTACGCTGCACTTCCTGGTGTTGAATTTCAATTGCCATTTTTCTGACCACTTCTGCAGTTTATTTAAATCCTCCTGAAGTATATTTGCATCCTGCCTTGAATTAATCTGTCGCCCTATTTTGGTGTCAACCGCAAACTTGCTTATGTCACTGCTGACCCCAGTATCTAGATCGTTTATGTAGATTATGAACAAGAGTGGGCCCAGTACTGACCCCTGGGGAACCGCACTGGTTACACAGCCGTCTCAGATTTAACACCATCTTCGCTGACCCTCTATGTTCTATCGGTGAGCCATGATTTTATCCAATTTAAAACTTTCCCCTCGATACCATGAGCCTTAACTTTTCTCAGAAGCCTCTGATGCGGTACTCTGTCAAAAGCTTTGCTAAAGTCTAAGTAAATAGGACATATATATATATATATATATATATATATATATATAGGACTTTTTAGTTTAATCTTTTAGTTACTTAATTTAATTATATTTTTTTTTCTTGGCTCCCTCGTCTTAATTAATTATGGTACCTGAAATAAAGGGCTGTCATGATAGGACAGATCATGTAAACAACGTTACTCATATTATTTATATACAAAGGAATTACACCAATTCATTAAAGATCAAAACTTTTCGTGCCGTTTACACCAGTACACAAAAAATAAGCTAACCCTAAACTAATGGGTTCATACCCAGTTTATGAGAGCACTAACCTCTCTTTTTTTAATGTTAATTTCTGCCTGTCAATTAACATTTATTTTATCCTTAATCTCAGGAACAACCCTATCCTTTCAGCCACTTCATGATTCGAAGCTTGAGCAGGCCTAGAGCTTAATCTCTTACTTTTTATCCCCTTCATTATTAAAAAAAATAATAAATTCTCCGAATCTGTCGGTTCTTTAACATGTTCGAATAGAAAATTGTCTCTCGGAATTTCTACAAAAAGAGTAGCGGGATTGTTAAGGTCATTTAGCCATGTATCATTTCTCCAGTCGATGTCGCCATTGTAATGATTGATTGTCAGACCAAAGCTTACAGCCCAGAATTATGTCACATATAACAACAAGTACACCACAGACCTCGTGGTACCACCACATTCCGGGTTGACACACCTCAGGTCGACCCAAGGGACTTGACCTCGCCCGCTAATGACGTGAGCCGGTGACCTACAACCGCACCTAGCCAAGACACCTGGCCAGGACCACACCTGCACACAACTATCCAAATCAAACCAGTTCAGTGTTAATTGTTAGAGGTCAGAAGCCGGCTGGGCCGACCCCATATAAAGGCCCTACAGTCCCGTCCACGGGCATTCCATTACGATTATCATTCTGATCCTGGTCATACTGATCCTCATTCTGGTTGCTGTCATCTCTCTCCCGTTCGGGTCGTCACTCGGTTCACTCAGCAGAGTCACGCACGTCCCCTCCCCAGGTCGGGAGGGAGACCTCCCGACCAGACCACGGCATCGCCAGCTAAGCAGACTCTCCCATAGGAGGCAGCCCAGCCAGCACTCACTGGGCCTACGTCAGGGTACACGTGAGTCTTGTCAGAACGTCCTAGGGTGAGTTACCTACTGTGGGAAGTGTATTCATTCAGGT